TTTTTTTTTTTTTTTTTTTTTTTTTTTTTCCTTTTTTTGTTTTTTTTTTTTTTTTTTTTTTTTTTTTTTTTTTTTTTTTTTTTTTTTTTTTTTGTGGAAATTTACACCTCATTTTTTTATATCTACCTAATATGACTCCAATACAACATGGATTACTTTGTGTTGTTCTACCACATAAAATCCTGATAAATGTCTTTATATTTTGAGTTTATTCTGTGAAAAAAGTCTAATTTTGCAGATTTTTGATGCTGTTGCAAGGCGCTGTGTGCTCACAGTGAGAGGGTGAAGTGAACATTTTGTTTTTGGGTTTTGCAGAGGATTTCCACTGAAGACGTGCATAATGCTGAAGCACTTATCGAAGGAGCCGGAGGCGGCGGGACGTCAGTCTCCTCCCGCCAAGCGAGCGTGTCCAGATCTGGAGGTGAGGAAACGACGGATTGTTTATCCAAAACAAGCCGGGCTGCAGCAGAAAATGCAAACTTTATGGTCTTTTTTTTCCTTCTGCATTCGTCCTAAAAGCTTCTCAGTCTTCATCTGTCATGATTTGATTTGGTGTCCCTGGTTTTGATTATTTTTGTTGGTGGGTTTCCTTCCCCCATTAACCTCTCGTTCCTCCTGTTTGCCTTCCCCTCCCTCACTCCCATCCAGCAGGAGAAAAGGAAAGTAAAGAAAACGCGTCCCGTTCCAAAGGTATTTCCATCTCCACATCTAAAATCCTCCATGTCATCTCTTGGGGTTTCTTTTCTTTTGTAACAACATCTCTGGGGTTTCAATCAAACGCTTCACTTTGTTTTCCAGGGATTTTCTCTCTTTAGCCTGAGATCAGATTGAAACGTTTCGAAACGTTTATCAGTTCATGCCAACAAATCAGAACATCGATTAAGTTTTTTCCACAATTCAGTTTAAAAGTAAAACTCAGAAATGTTACATTTTGGGCTGTAGTCATTAGCAACACTGCTGACTTGTCATTGGGGGCTGCATCCAATCAGGCCAATGGAAAGTTGAGTGGAGGGACAAACTGGATTCGAATTCGCATTCTTTATAGAGATATTAATCTGATGGATTAACAATCCATAGAACTGGCTACCGACCTGAACTGCCAAAAGTACCGGTACCTTCCATGATTAGTTGTAACAATTTTATTTGAGAAACTTTTATTTCAGATATAAAAACACTGTAGTAGAAATACTGCAGGCTAGTTAGTTTTTATAAATTTAAATAAAATACGTAGCCGTGTTGTTTACGCTTCAATGCATCCTGGGTAGATGATATGCTAGGTGCTAACAGCACTAGCTCTGCCCAGCCAGAACATAATTCCTGTGCAGTGAGCAACGTCTGAACCTTTCAGTTTGATCCAGAGCGAGAGGAGATGAAGATGAGGAAGAGGAGAAAGTCTGATGAAAAATCTGATGTTTGTTCTGCAGCTGCTTGGAAATGCTAACCTAGGAGAAGAGCATATGCTAATAAAAAGCTAGCTGTGAACTCAAGCTGTTTACGGTTAGCATTGGGATCAAAATATTTTCCTAAATGTCAAAGTGGTGTGTTACAAAAACTTACTAAGAACATGTAGCTACTTTTTTCTGGAGTTTTTCTTTCTTCGTCTGAAAAGCAGCTGGAGAGAAAAGTTTTCTTATTCCAGTTATTAAGTTTGGCCCATTAAGGGGAATGAAACGAGTCCATAGAGCCAATAATTTAATCTTTCTTTGGCGTTTGACCTTTTAAAGTAATTTCAATAAAACGTGTTACTCAGCCTGGGCCATTAGCAGATTGAGGAAATCCCAGTAATGGCTGAGGCCTTAAGGTCGTCCTCCTGAGACGGACGTTTCTGGAGATTTCCTCCTTTAAGGAGCAGCGTTTCTGTTCTCCTCATTGATTTGTGGCTTTGCTACAAACTCACCAGAGTTTATGATGAAGCCATGAACTCTGCAGATGCCGAACTGGCCCACTTAAAGTAATGAGAAATGCAGCCTAAATCACTGGTGTGTCATGGTTGTTTTCATGTCATTTTTCCTTATTTTTGTTTCTGTGGCTGAGCTCTGATGTTCACTAACACAAACTAATGAGGTATTTGTAATTTCAGTCACTGATTCCCACTTATTGGATGCAAATATTAGTTGCTGATTTGTAAGTTTCACTTGTTTTCTTCCCATCCAGGGTTGTTTTTCCTCATTTCTGTGTCTTGTTTTCTGCTCCAGGTGCCCTGGAACCCAGACGTTGACTTGTGTTGGCACTCTCTGATGGGTGGAGCTGCAGACGAGTGCGAACCCGAGTGGTGCGAGTCTGAAGACCCGCTCTTCATTCTCTACACCAGCGGCTCCACCGGCAAACCCAAAGTAAAGGACACAAAACAGTCCCTCCATTAGTTTATCAAAATCAATACAATAGAACACAGAATTGATTTCTTCGTCTCATTTGACGTTTATAATAACTGAGTAGACGTAACATTAGTTGGGGTTCCTCATGTCTGAGGTCTTGGGACACTTTAATTAAATCTGCATGTGTCCAGCAGCTCAGATTTACTGATGTTTCTGCCCATATGTTGGGCATCCCTACACTGCAAAAACACAAAATCTTACCAAGGATTTTTGTCTAGTTTCTTGTGCAAATATGTTATTTTCAACT